AGTAATATATCTAATTTGGTTCCAATATCAATACTTAAACAAAGGTATGACATGCAAAGTAACAATATCCTCGTACTTAATGCCATTTATGACGATTTCTTCTGTTTAGATACCTATAAAAATTTTATTTTTTTCTGAAAGACATATATTTCTACGAAAGTTTTATAGTTTAAAGGTTTTCTATCATTGTTGTAGTCAGCGGATGTAATTCTCAATCAAATTTTTATATCGACGCTTCATTTTCGCTAGCGTTAGAATAATTAGAGATACGGATAGTTAAGATATGTGATTCTCTCAGAGGCCGACTTGATTACTATACATATAAAAATAGAAAAACATGAAAGACATACATCGACTATCATGAACTACTGTCTTTAATTTTTTCCTTTATGTATAACAATTTTCGATTTATTAGGAAACGTTTATTGATTTAATATTCTTAATAAATATCTATACAAAATGTGAGTTTTATTACGTAAGTTTAGCATTACTTGTTTTATTAGATAAATACTTTATAAAAATATTTTTCCTTGTCCTGCATTGTATTAGTACATACGTTTCTTAGGTGCTTTTCCATATACTATTAATTTTTACAGCTTTTTAATCATTACGAAATGTGTTTTATTTCACAAATATCATCTTCTTGCTTAATTTAAAATATTCGACTCATAAATTACATAATAAGATTAGTGATACAACATAAATAATTTATAACAAACGTTGAAATATCTGTGCTAGTATATATTTCAATTTTAAGCTAAATTATTGTCGACCTCGAAAAGTAACTTTGACGAAACACAAGAATGTTCGTAACCTCGTTCTTTGACATCATGTTTTATACGCAATTTTGGCAAATGTTTTAAAACGAGACACATTGTAGGTGTATTCTATTTGTACTGACCTACCTTATATTACATTTATGTTGGAATTAGACGCGATTTTTCGTTGCAATTAATTACGGTTGTATGTTTTCACAATTAATATATTCTTAATACTATAAGGGATATACTATTTAACCGCACTCTTTCTTACCTCGAGAAATCATCGAGAACTGAAACTGGACACGTGTTTGTTACTAAAATAAATATCAAGCGTAACAACAACTGGCAAAGTCATTAGATCTAGCGGTTTATTGCCAAACGAAGTATACAGGGTGTTGAAAAAGAGGTTCAGATTTTTAAGGACAGAGAGTGGAAGTCCTGCTAGTCTTTTAGATATAATTTTTATTACAAAATGTGTCTCTGAATTATATTTCAAAAGAAGTGAAGTCGATAATATAGAAATCAATCTTATTGCACGCCAAGTCGGTCATGCAGACATCTGTAAAGGGCCACCGTTCGGTGCTTCTACAGTCTTCTATCGCCATCTGCACGCGGTTTAAGAAACCACGTTGTTCGATCGATAAAGCGAGAAATCGTACGTCTCTTTTTTTCATCGCTCCTCTCGAGCGCAGGGTTAAGTTAGGTTAGTCTAGCAGACGACGGGACGGTACGGACAGCGCGTAACTGGCGTCGCTCGCGGGCGCTCGGTCTCGAGCGTTTGAATCGGGCCGGATTGGTTGGGCATACGCGTCGTGGTTCTCGCGCGAGGTGCTCCGAGGTGCGTGAACGTCGCGATTCGTCGTGCGGTCGGGCAGGCAGCGTAGCGGCGAGCAGAGAGCAACGCGCTATCACGATGATTGATCCCGAGGCGTTCCTGGACCTGGCCAACCAGGTCATCAAGCTGAAAATGTACCCGTATTTCGACATCGCGCACTCGGTGATGTGCGCGCTCCACGTCAAGGAGGACCTGGGACCCGGTGAGCTATGCGCCGACTCGCGCACGGCCGCGTTTCTAAATTTGTAGCGCTCCATCGGCGGCGCCGTCCCCCGCTGGAGCGCAGCCTCCCCGCGATCTCGCTAATCTCGCCATTCCTGCGACGCCGGACGGCGGCCACGTCCCACGCTCCGCGAAGCTTTATATTTACGGACGCGGTTCCTCGCCCCTCTCCTCCCTCCTCCCCTTCCTTCCTCTCTTTATCTTGCATTCTTGCTCGCTTTGCCGAATATTTATTGCGTCGACGCGAGGCGCAGCCGGTGAGAAATTCTCCGCGAAATTGTTCTTCGTCCTAATTGCCGGGGAAAAAGTTTCAAGTAACACATTAGTTCCGTGTCGAGACGGAATTGACGGTGCTACACACTGTATATACATTTCACCGAACGCTTCAAACAGATAAAAATGACAATAATTTATCCGGACAAATCACGGACTGATGAACGACGAAAGACTAGTAAATGATGGAGAGCCTGTACTCCCCGGTTTCGCGAAACGGCAAACGGCGATTGTTCATGTTATTACGTAATGTTGATAACAGGAACTAAGGAGATAATTGTCCGTTCGTTTCTCCAAGTTGTGGAGGACTGACAATGAGTCGTTCTGGCGCGCAAGATTCGATTGCTCTCGAACGTCTCGCACAATTAATTCGCCGGGATCAAATTTTCCGCGCCAATGAAAATTCTCTCTCTTATGTAACGTCATCTCGCGAATCTTACGTTCTGTTTGACCGCAATCGCCGTTTCCTACCTAATCGAGGAGTTATTTCAGTATCGACGGAGTGACAATTGGCGAAAGTTGCTGAAGCTGCTCTGTAACGAGTAAAAATTAAAGAGAATAAACGAAACTCTGTCGCTCATAGGAAAGCTGTCATTTTCATTAAGTAGTGCTAGAGAAATGTACAGTTGTGAATTTCTAAAAATAAATATTTAAGAAAATTCAATGTAAAGGAAGGTCCTCTATTATGAGATAGAATTCTAATATGAGATAGTAACTTTTTAACGTTCAAACTCAATCACAAGTCCTTGTTCGCAACAATTACACGATTTAATAATCAATTTTCTGAACAGATTTCGCTCCAAGGGCAATAAATTTATGCTGGAACCAACAGACGATGCCTGTTAATTTTACAAAAACCTCGCTATCTCATATTAGGAGCCTGTCTCATAATAGGGGACTTTCCTATGCATTTAGCTTCATGTTCGATTTTTGTCTCTTCCAATCGGGTTTTGCAAACTAATTGTTCCATGATGTTTAGATGTAGAATATTTTACATAACCTTCTGGAAAAGTTTATATCATATTTTTTTAGAAAATAATAAAAAAAACCTAACGATCTTATTAAATGCCTAAGACAAGAAGCTGCAAAATGGGCATGTATCCTTGGTGGCTCCAAATGTCAAAGAACTGCTACTTCTGAATTGCGGCGTCAATTGAGTAATTTGTTCACATACTTTGTTATATAACTTTGCTGATGCACACAATATCTGATGTAATAAAATCGACGAAACTACCAAATCATAAAAGACAACTTTATATTCAACTAATAAGAATATTCTTAAATGCCGCCGGCAGTAATTAACAACGTCAGTGTTTTCTTGACCGTATCTGGGCATTTTTAATAATACAGAATATTTTCGCAATAAATTTTCTGTATCGTTAAAAATGCCGGATACGGTCAAGAAAACACTGACGTTTATATTTAATTTTACATACGTATATGCAGTGTTGTGCATAGATGATTTTAAAATTAGCTAGATAAAGATAAGATAAAGATGATTTCGTTTTGAATATATCTAGATAAAATATAATATTATATGATGATTCATCTAGATAATTTTCAGATAATATTAAGACTTCATGTAAACGCAGTAGAAAAAATTATAAAAAAATTATAGAAAAATATAAATTATAAAGGGGGATATAGAATATATTCAGGTTAAGTTATATGACACACACATAAATGCATGGTCTACAACGCCATCCATATTTAAATAGTGTAACTGGTAAGTATTTTTATGTGGCCCTAAACCAAATTATCTGTACGTTATCTTAGATAATTTAGTAAAGATAACACTTTCTTTCATCTAAGATGCAGATATAGATAATACTTATTTTTATTATCTATATAAAGATAAGATAACGCTAAAATTTTATCTAGATAATCATCTATATAATTTTATTTAGATAACAGCAAACACTGCATATATGTATATATATATTGGACTGATTGCATGACTCAGCAGATATCTACATGCAAGTTCGAAAGACCCCCCCTGATGGAAAAATTTTGCTAAAAATGTAATGAAATTGATGAAAAGTGAAATGAAAGTTATTGGAAACTTGTTGAAATCATTTCAAAATAAATCATAAGTTTCGTTATGAAATTCAATGAAATACTGTGAAATTAGATGAAAGTTAATTAATATTACTAAAAATTAGTGAAAAATTTTAGAAATGTTGTATATTATGAAATTTGCAGAATTTCACTGAAAATAAATTTTTTAATGAGAAATTGCTGAAATGATAATGAAATTGGGTCAATTGCAAGAGATTTTCAACCAAATTTCAGCAAATTTCATTACGTTTTCAGCAAAATTTTTCCATCAGGGCCTCCATAGGTGTGCATTTCTATTTGAGCTATTGAGCTAGAGAATTACTTCAAAGATCTAGTGTCTGCACTTTTCGATCCGATCTCGAGAAACGTGTAATAGAATACAATTGCCACTTATTCCGTAAAAGCGAGCGAGTTGGCTATGCATTTCTCGGATTGAAGACTCGGATGAAAATCTGGCATCGTGGACACAAGATTAAAACGGGCAGCACAAACTTTTGCATAAGTACGTAAGCAAATTGATGGATTCATTTTGTTATGCAGTCGCTTGTGGACCAATCAATTTCCTTATGCATACACTTAAGCGTTTGTGCAAAAGTCTGTGCTGCCTCGTTGAAGGAACAATTGCGGTTATCAAGGTAGTTACTTCGTAAAATCATTTATGTGAGAATTGTTTCAAATTTTTACATTAATACGCAAAATAAGACTAATTAAATTAAAACTGACCGTCTCGAAGTTCTAAAAAAACAATGTTAAAGTTTGCTTATACGAGGGGGAAACCGCTGACCAAAATCTTGTACACCAATGCCTACTAATGCCCGGTGGGTATTACTTTATCTTATTATCTTCTGTTATCTTATTTATCTTGTTTCATCTTATTTTTCCTTATTTGATCTTATTTGATCTTATTTTATCTTTATAATGCCCCAGCGAGGCCTAATGCCCAAACTAATGCCCAAAAACTATCTAGTAATGTCCAGTAATAGCTTTCCTTTTACACTCAAGTGCTACTCAGTCACTCAGTTATGTGAGTATTTTATACTCAGATACGTCTATTAAACTCACTAAAGCACACGGTCTTGATCGTGTGCAAAAACTCAGGTAAATCTGGTTGAATCACTTCTCAAGAATCAAAAAGAACATTCATTTAACTGATTGTGAGTTATGACGTCACAAGTGAGATTTATCTGAGTGTTCATGTAAAAGGAAAGCAACTAATGCCGCAAATCTGTACACCACAATGCCCCCAGCGGTTTCCCCCTTGGTTTGCTATATTACACGAAATATTACGTGTAAAACACATGAAAAATATTATTATACGTAACAATATAATTCGTTGTCATATTATCACACGTGAAATATTATTTACACATATTATTATATGTTAAAATATTAACATTTGCGTTTGCAAACGCAAATGATGGCACTTTTTTTTTAAGCTTACCGGTGAGTGAGATTCGTATGAGAAACAAATATGTTATAAAGTAAAATAGAATGAATAATTGGAAAAAAATCAAAATTAATGACCGTTCCGTTTCAACAATATAAACAGTTAAAACTGAAAAATGGGAAGAATAGTAGACATGAGTGTAGTGTAAGAGATGTGGCCACAGCGTCTCAAAGTTTAATCTTTAAAATCTACTTTATATTACTGATTTCTTCTGTCAATTAATGCTTAATTTATTTCGTTCTGTTCATTTCATTATACAAGATGACAGCTATTCAGTTTTAACAATTTTCTGATTGGTACCCTGTATCTATTTGGGGAAAGGGATCGTAGTAAATGATAATAGAATGCAATATGTAAAAGAGGGATGAGAGGAGTAACACGGATTGAGAGGTGTACCAAAACCAAAATTGATCAAGAGCTGAGTTTACTAGCTTCTGGCACAATTATCATATAATTCTATCTCAAGGCAAATGACACGAACAACCCAGCTGATCTATTTCAGTATGCGCTGTACTCGCATGTACACAGCTAGAGCCAGAAGTATTCAAAATAGAGGCTCTTTCAGAAGTAGCTTCTCTAAACTATGTTCTTTGCCAGTTTGCATTAATAGTGGATTATGTGTTTATTTAATATGTATACATTAAACGTTCCTCTTCTATTGCAAACTGCTGTTCTTATCACAAAAAATTGAATTTGATTATATTTTATAAAAAATGTACTTTTTATTAAAATAAAATTGTAGATAACTTAAGACTCAAGATAATAACAGTAAATAATGATAGGACAAATAAACACTCTTCACTTTTATAATATACGTTTTTAATTAATTTAACATGACGTCAGTATGAAAGATTCGTTTTCTCCAAGAAAACATCAAGCTAATCGTCTAAGGTGATGAAGAGTGTAGAATCGAAATTAATGATAATTTCTTTAAAACTTAAAATTTCTCTAAATATACTTGGTACAATGTATCATTGCTTTTATTGATAGCTACTCTCTGAGTTTGCATTAAATGTGTTATACTTATAAGGATTCTCTAACTGACTTATCCCCCAATCAGCGTATATCTGTACCATTTCACGTCGTAATAAAATCTTGTGTCTGTTACACACAGCTTAAAAATGTTTTCTGAAAAGTACATTTTACAAATGAACTCTACACTTTATAAAGAAACTCTACTAGTGTAGATGTAATTTTAAATAATGCTCTGTTTAATTTTTATTTATTTAAAATATACGTTATCATAAATTGTAATACAAATTGTCATAAAATTAATTATACATATAGTTAAATTTTCGGAACATAATATGTGATAATTATAATATTTATACATATATATATTATTCAGGTGCACAAGCATTTTCCCGCAAACATCCTTTATCATGTTGGCTGTCTACAATGTTGGTCGTTTTTGCAAGCGGTATGCTGTGCAATGGATTATTAGGAGAACCAATTCTTGCACCTTTGAAAGATACCTCACAGGTTCAAGTTGCGACTATCGTTTGGTCAGTAATATCTACGTAATTTGTTGTGTGCTTTGTAACTCGTAAAATTATTTTTCTGTGATTATGTCAACTTTACGAAAATTATTCAGGAAATGTTTACAGAATCTTTTTAATTAGAGAATCAATAATATCTTTTAAAAAATTTAATTGCTCGTATCATTAAAAGAAAATCTTTCTAAATATTTCAGGTATTTAATATTTTACACACCGTTCGACATCGGTTATAGGGTAGCCAAATTTTTCCCAATAAAAATAACATGTGCTGTCATGAAAGAAGTTTATAGGCAAGTAAATATCGTACTTGTCAGTCTTTAAGGTGTCCACTTTTAATTCCATTACATGTTTATGAAAACTGTGTACTTGCATATAAAGGAGAATGTAAAAATAATGTAAAACAATGTGCATAAATTATTTTCTGTTTTTTATAGGTGTAAAAAGGTATACGATGGAGTGACTCACGCAGGGAAACTTTATCCAAATGCATATCTTATTATGATATTGATTGGAACGCTTAAAGGTTGGTCATAAAACATGGAATATACAATAGGTACAGATGGAGTGTAGATATTGCATTATCTTCACAACTAAAATACGTAAACGTACACTGCAATATAAATCAATGTATTTAACTGTTAATAGGATTTGTAATTATGACATTTGTACAGGTAATGGAGCTGGATTTGTAAAATTATTTGAACGTCTTATACGTGGCGCATGGACACCGACCGCGATGGAATTTATGCAACCTAGTTTGTATGTAAAAAAATCATAATATTTACATGAACAAATACTTGGATTATAAATATTAAAATAACTTTTTACAGTCCCACGAAAGTGTCCATGGTTGCATCAATTATCTTTGTGCTCGATAAGAAGACTGATCTCATTTCTGCACCTCATGCTCTTGTATACTTTACCATTGTCATCTTCTTCTGCTACTTCAAAGTAATGTCTATATCCTGAAATGTCTCACTAAATCTATATGTATATTTGACATAAAATCATATTAACAATGATACAATTATTTAGGTAGCGTCAATTATGCTTGGCATTCACGATCCATTCGTACCATTGGAAAATTTGTTCTGCACCTTATTCCTGGGAGGAATTTGGGACTCGCTGGCTAGATTGTTCGGTCGCGGTCAGTCCAAAGATGAGAAAGCAGACGCAAAGAAAACAAATTAAAAAATTGTAAACACTTCGAATACTTTAATTTGCAAATATGTCAAAATATATCAATAATCTTACCTATATTTCTTCTTCCAGAAAACATATTTATAATATCATTACGCTATAGCATTGATGTCATCAAGCTAGCATTGATTACTTAATAAATAATGAAGTAAAACTTCTTTAAAAATCTAGTCTGATGATAAGAGTTTTACATGACTCTTAATAAATCACAAAATGTTGGAGAGAAGTACAATAATTATATATATATGCGTGTGTGCGCGCGTGCACACATACTTTAAGAGTGAAATTTATTGAATTTTCAGAAAGTGTCTTATAAAAATATCAGCAGTATTATTTCAACTAATATAAAACAACAGTTATACATCATTCTTATCATTAAGAACTGTCAAGCGGATGAAACAATTTCGTAGATACATCTGTATAAAACCTTGCCCTCGTTTATCAATTAAAAATACGTATTTATTCGTGTGGATTATTTATCCCTAAATCTGAATTGTTATCGTTAAACGCGATAAGATACACAGATTTATTCGAGTAGCAAACGCAGAAGTATGTCTTTTTACCAATTTTGACGTAGATCTTGATAATGGCTCATTGTGACATTTGTTTTTAAGTTGCACAAAGTGCAATTTTTACTATTACGTGTAAATACACGTTAGAATGTATTTGTTCTATTTACTCATTGTACATTATTTGTATCCACATATCGAAGAATGAATACACTCAGGAGAAATAATTGATAATCGATTAGTGTCATTGGCAAATTACTATATTACTGATTTGTAAATCCTATAAAACACACATGTAAAAACAAGCACTAAAAAAATAGAAGTGTATCTCTTATACTATTTTATTAAATTTAAATATTGGTACCCCCTCCCCCCCCCTCGTATAACAGTCTGTTTTAATTCACGCCAAGAGATATGTATTCTTTACAATTAGGAACCCATGTTCTAATTGCGAAAATATTCACATTTTCATGTAATAAAATGGGATTGGAATAAAAAATCGTAGTTTATTTGGAGACCTTGACAAAGAATTAATTGTCGATCTACAGGATTTATTTCTATATGTTTCACGTTTATTGGTCATATTGCATGCATTAAAAAAGTAGCTATATATTGTATGATTGTGACATTCTATGCAATTCAGTTCTTTTCCTTGTATACTTGCGCGATCTCGCATACAATGGGATTCTGGAGACATATTGATTCGACGATAATTCAAGCTTTGGAGTATTTGCCGTGGTCCAGTCGTGATCGCGCGGCAATGAACTCCTGCATCTTTTCTTGTATCTACAAGTTCCGTTTGATAACAAAAACGTACGGTAGTCTATATAATTCACTTCTTTCTCACGTACGTGAGACATTACAGGGTGCGATAGCTCGTAATATTTTTTAACCGAGTACTTCTGATACATATTTTTTGACCACTTGTCGACGTTCGCCCACCGTAGAATATGGGCGTCGCGCACGCACGTCTCCTTATCCAATTTTAGAATACCTTCGCTATTATTGGACTTGGTTACGCGAATCAACATAGGCTCGTGATGTTGAGTGGCTACGTTTATCTTTTCTCCAAAACTGCGATCAGTTACAATTCCTGTGTCTTGTAATTGCTTCGGGGTATATTGAGTTCCCGCTTCACGAAGCGATATCTGCGGCACCGACACATTCAAGCCGATATCATGATTCTCTGTGCGTGCAGGAACAGCTTTATCCTTGACGAAGAGTTCTTCCATCATCTCTACGTGTGCAGTGCCATTCTCCGAAAGATTGTGATTGCTGACTTTCGATATGGAGGGACCATACAGTACTTCTATGTCTTTCGAGTTTGCAAAAGCTGCAGATTGTTCTACAACATCTTCCTCTTGAGCTTGAATCAAATTTAAAGCGGAGTTTTGCTTCGAAGGGCATTTACTTTTCGATTTAAATCTAGAGTAAAACTTATTTAACAACTGTCTCTTCGAACAATCCACGAGCATACATATTTTTAAAATTTCGTCTGCACATTCTTTTATTTTACTCAAAACGACAAATGTATGCATTGCATCCTCTTTCCTCACGCAGCTTTTTTGCACTGGAAAAGACAAAATTGGGAAAAACTTGAAAATACTTCTTTTTACTGTACACATTAATTGTACTATTTATAAAATGTTCAAAAGTACCGACCATTCTCACTGTTTAATTCACGAATACATTTCATTAACTCCAAAAGGGTTTCCGTTTTTTCTAAACACGGTAAACAACTTATACTTTCTAATTCAACAGCAGAACTAGCGGCAAAATGTCTATTTTCATTGGCAAATTTGGATGAAATTTGCTCACAAACAGTCATCCCGGAGGCTGCGTAAAAGATATGTTATAACATATACGCAGTTTACTTGTAAGATCATAAAATAAACGAAATCTATATTGCAAAGAATTATAGTTACGCTTACAATTAGAATTTACATAATCTCTCCTCGATAGAAGCGACGTAATGGAAGAAACTTTTGCTTGCATTACTGTTTCCAAGCATCGAAGTAAAGCCTGTGTCACCGCAGAACTCTGTTTAATAATTTCCATTGTGTCACGAAAGCAGGTTTCTCTAATGCAAACTTCATTTTCAAGGCGTTCCTTACCATCTAATGCTTCCAAACTCTCCACTTCTAAAGGAACATTAGAAAGTAGATTAACAATGTTGCTTACGCACAAATAGTTTTCTTTACAATTAGGCACATCTCGTTACTCATAGTTTAGTAAGATCAACAGTTTAATAAGTGAAGTTTAACGTGACATCTTTTGGCATAGAGCCTTCTACGCTCTTTAATTTTACACCAATCATATTTCGCATGCCATTACCAGGGCACTTCACTGTATTCGCGTCCATTTGCTTTGCTTCTCGCGTGGAGGAACATTTTTTAGGAGCTTGGCAATTACTCAGGTTCGCACAGATTGTATTCCGAGTCGTTTTATCTCCCTTTTGCGTGGTATTTACTGCTACTTGCTTCAACTCTTCCTGAGATGTTAAAGGCTTACTTTGGCCCCTTCTATAATACTTTCGTTCAACATCTGTCTCCAGTTTTGACATGCAAACTGTGTTTTGTATTCCTTTGTCCTCATGTTGCTCGACAGTTCCTAGTTGTTTTGTTGATAATTGTGTTTCTCTTTTACAGGATTTTGGTTTGGACATAACAATTGGTTCCGGTATCATCGCTTGATTTATGTAATTGCGAGTGCTTTGCGGATAATAAGTTTGAGTTGTTAACACGTCTGCAGGATAGCGGGTATAACTTGGTAAACCGCTGCGAAAGCCTGGACATGGGATTATATTATATTTTCCTTGTATAGTATCTATTTCTCTAGCTGTTCGGTATTGATGTTCCTTGTATCCTTCGTAAAGTTTATCGGCGAAATCGGAATATTCTGGACAAGGGGCTGCGATAGCTAACGGTTTTATTTGTTCATAAGCTTTTCCAGCAGTTGAACCCAATTTGTCAGGTCTTATATCTTTCCAGCCACAGGATGGACACTGATGGAGTAATTGCGCATCATTCTGCCCTTTGCTTTTATGATCTAATATATCAAGATTTCCTGGCATATACAGCGTTTGGGTGCGACAAATAAATTCGATGTTTAATAACAGCAAATTTAAAACAGAAACGATTATTTCTTAAACACTTTTTTACCTGTTTCTGCAAATTTGGTGTTTTTTCTTGGTTTTGTCTTATGTTGCCTCGTTCCTTGAACGCAAGGAAAATTAGATCTACTGTTATGTCTGTCATACGATGTTGTGACGCAATCTTTTGAAGGAGATATTATTTGCACCGATTCGCTTCTGTTCTATCCATAATAATGTAAATAGTAATTTAACTATGCGAGCACAATTTGTAAGAGTTTTTGAATATCGACGTACGACTCTTTCAAAATAATCCATTTACCTGTAACTTGTCCTCATCGTCAATCACCTTTGCTAACATTCCAGCCACTAGGGAAAACCAAGCGAAAGGAGATTTGTATGGTTTGCTCGATTGAAATCCCTTGATAACTTTTATTTGTTCCTGCCCATATCTAACAATAAGATGAGAAAAACACTTTTCAAACTTAATCTGGATGAATAAAAATCAGTAAATCTTCGTATAAAAATTAATGAAGATTTCTATCGTTTACTTTTTTCTTATCACTTTGATCTGTTCTAAACAATCGGACATATTCAATTCGGGTATGTTAAGTTCTTTAATGATGTTCTTCAATGCTTCATTTTTGGCCAAACAATCATAGTATTTTACACAATGTAGATTCCAAAGACACTGGTGCTTTCGATATGCATTTAAAAAGGTGAGAGTTAAATTTTCGTTCCACTTAAAGGACATAATTATTTAATTCGTTAACAGCGCGGAATTAAGATTTGCATATTCTACGGATAAAAAACTTGCGCAATTTTGCATGACAACCACATGAAGGAAACTGCAATTATTTATGTAATCTTAAGTGAATACATCTGCTTATTTCAACATTCGATGTAACGAGAGTTTTCTACTGTTTGAAAGTAGTAAGTGATCAGCAAAAGATTATATACATTGTATAATTTATAACTGTTTACTTAAGTATTCTTTTACAGAATATATTTGTACCATACATTAATATAATAAAATTAGACACTACCACCCTGTCACGGCTCTGAGTCCTTTAAATTCTTTAAAACATTAATAAAGTGTTGCAGAAAAGATCATATTATTTGCATCTTATCGCTTATTTATTGTTTTGCTTTTTAGCTGTATATAAATCACTCTTACATATAAATCCAACTTTAAATAATAATTTAAATTGAGAATATCGCTTGTAACCACGTTAGCGCTTCATCGCCAGTTTTTCTCCCTGTTGTCTAATAATTGTAACAAAATCCGTAATCCTTGCTTCCTTTGACTTTAGTAAGTAATAAACATTCCTTCAATGTTAGCCCGCAGCTACAAGTCTCGTCTTTACACATTACTGTACAGTCGTTACAATCGCAACAGCAGATTGAGCTGCTATTCTGATCCGTGAATTTACATTCTAAGACTTTTAATCGTGCTTTTGTTATCAACTTTTGAATTTCCTTTTCCAATTCCCCAGCAGTCTCTAAAATCAAGCTGTGCTAGTTCAACGATGACAGATATTTCCTGTTATAAATAGACACACTGCACTTACGAATATCAATAGTTCGTAATTGGAACGCTACGCTTTTCCCAAATATGTCGAAGTTATCTTCAATCCTTTTTCTGTCGTGCACTTCCGCAAGAATGCCATCTGTACATGTGGAATGATCCTGTTATAAAAGAGTTTACAATTTTTTCAATACTTCTTCTTGAAAAATCGACAATATAAATTATTCGCTTATTTAGTTCATATAAACCTTTTTTCCTTCATTGTCACCTGCGACAGATTTTCGCTCCTATTAAAATTATAACATTGTAATAATACAGCATTATCGAAAATATCCGTATACTTAATACTTATTGATCTCTCGTATTTGTTTCTAACATGAAGCAAATCCGTTTGCGTTTCGTGTTCTGCGATAATACCATTACTCGTTTCCGTCGCTGCATCAATCATTTGGATCGTTTCGGAAGGGACGAGAGCGTCTTGCAATTTCGGATCAGAAGGAACAGTATCTCTGCACTTGAAAAATATTGTTGTAATTTTACCTCGTGATTCCTCACAGACTTGGACAAAATAAATATATAAGTAACAAATGACCTCAATCTTAAGCACAACTCGATCTCTTGGAGTTCACACGTTCCACAAGTATTGTACGAACAAATGTGTTTGCCCTCTGCTTTCTCGAAAGATGAACGCAAAAATTTGTCTTGAATACTGCCAGCATTTTGATAATTGCTGTCTTGCTGCAAACACGTTCGTGTATTAGCATAGCATAAAAGTAATATAAAAACGTAATTTACAATGATAATTTTAAAAGATAACGATATTTATCAACCAATGAGAATGTTTTTAAAAGTCGCCAGCAGTAATTATCAGCGCGCAGTTCTAAAAAAGTTGAAATATACGCGTAAACAACAGCTTTATACTGTTATTGCGACTAATATTACCATATGCCTCGGTGGTCGAATTGGTCGAGACGCCCGCCTAGAGAGAAGGGAGGTCCAGGTTCAAACCCTGGCTGAGGTAATATTTTTCGCAATAAATTTTCTGTATTATTAAAATTGCCAGATATATACAGTCAATAAAAATCACTGATGTTAATAATATTTATCCTTTTATAATTACTACTACTTTATCACACAAGTATAAATTAACACAATCAAATCTGTATTAATTTCTCGTATACGAATTCTGTTACACATCATACCTTTTCGATATCATTATAACGAGATATTGGCATGTGCGGAAAGAAGAGTATGTGCATCGTTTTAAACCACATCGCTTTTGGCGCGTACAATTTTTCGCAAGAAATAGCTGCAGCAATTTTTGACAATTCGTAACAATATTCTTTTTTCACACTTTCAATTCTCTTAATGCAATCACATATTCTTAACCCAGGAATATTCATGGAGTCCCTCATCTCCTTGTACGCCTCGTAACGCAACGATTTGCTAGTGAACTCAGAATGAAATGGGTTCCACAAACATTGATATTGGCCATAAAGTGCTATTAATTTCTCAGTATCCTCTTCGGTCCATACATTTGGCATATTAAAAAGTATTTTATGATAAGCCAATAAGGTTATTTAACCTTCTCAATCAATGCTATTAAGATAAAAAAAGATACTTAAATACAAGTTTACACGCAGGATTTGCACTTGGTTGATATTTTTCGAAATCTGTGCATGACTGCCAAAGAAAGTATATATTATGTTACGATACGCTTATTCATTGTACTACTCGATTATAAATATACAGAAATTTAGAAAGAGGACGTGAATAAAAAGATGAATGATACACCACATCATTAAGTCTGGTTTTCATAGCTGTACTATACTATAGAGTTGAAATAAAAGTATAACTTTTTAAAATTTGGGGAAAGTGAGGAAAAAGTTCTAGCACAGTCCAGAACAGTAATGAAAAATAAACCCAATTAAAAAATTAATAAAAGATTTGGAAGGGAAATCGGGTGTTAATCATCTCATTTACCAAGTTTTTAAATATATCTTCATACTTATTTCTTTTTCTTCTATCACACATTTTTAGCAGTATAAATATAAATTGTACATTTGTTTTGTAAAGTTTATTATCTTATGTTAATATATCCTTCGCTGTTATCAAGTATGCAACTACTAATTTATAACAATGCTTCAAATATTCAATTCCATTTTATTGCTACAATTTGCGCTTTCTGTATTGTAGTAAGAATTCTCTTAGGTTTCAGCGAATATTGGTCGTTTTATTAAACTTGCAAATACGGGCGGATTTATAGTTACAAGTATTGTTTTTGATTTAGTAATGATTTTTTTAAAAATAGTAAGTACTATGATCGTTATATTATTATATATGTTTAAATCTAAAGTAACATATATATCTGATACTACGTACTTTGATTGTAATCGTGTAACAAGTTTATCATAATTTATATATGATAATAATCGATTATTTCATAAAAGCAATTAATTACATGATCTCTTTCGTGGACTAAGAGAACCGATACCTGATAAAATAACTAAAAGAATTAATACACAAGATTGTTGTGTAACAGACATTACTAATCAATTGATAACCGAGTTACGTAATTAAATAGTAGGTTTAGTTTTCTTATTTTGCCCTTGACAAAAATATCTTATCTTCTGGACAGATTAGCTCGATTATCAACGGTACACCATGTTATTTATAAATTATATACAGTTATTATTTTTGTATATAACAATATATATCCTTCACTCGTGATTATTGTTAATCAATATTATTGTATCTTACTGTGCTGAAATCTACATTACGCGCGTTATATCTATCCTTCAGACATTGTTCTTAAGAAGCTGTTTCAATTGTCGAAGATAATTGCGGTAGCTGCTGTGGGACGAAATTTACAACCTCATGATACACAAGTTCTACAAGTGAACATATGTATTAGCTACAATGTAACGATGCTTTGGATTAAAATTGGTAAAGATACATTACCTTTCCATTTCTCCACTGGAAGATCCATATCCTCGAAGCTCTGATCATACGGTAGAGAAACAGGTTCATCAGTCGGATCTGCATATTGTGCAAGGTATGGATGTGCTAACGCCTGTTCCGCAGTAATCCTTTTCTCCGCATCCAATTCCAACATCAGTTCCAATAAATCAATAGCTACACAAAAATTCAATATAATTCCATATGCATTTTACATCAATATAAGTGTTACTTTTTTCTTTCTATTCACCTAAAGGATTAGCTCCACGAAATACTTCTTTGAAATTTTTTTTCTTCAACGGTGGTAAGCTCTGAATATAATTTCTAGCCTGTAACAATAATTCAATTGTCGTAGAAAAATTGTCTCATTATTTATATAAATTAAATTATATTCCGTACGTATATACTATATTGTATTTCCTCTATACGTTCTATATCTTTCTCTTTATATGTATAGAAGTTTCAAAGAAACATTTTTATGATATGACGAAAGTACAAGCTTTATAATCGGCAGCATTATAAACAAAATATAAACATAACCATTATAAATAAATTAGATATAAACTATTATAGATATTAAATCAAGATATTGGGCCAAACCATAAGTAGTTTTAGGAATATTTATGAAATAAATAAGAAGTTTGATATTTTAATTTTAATCTAAAATACATATTTTCTATTATCTACATCTTTGTCGCACCTTAAATTTTTAATTCCCTGGCGATAAAAGTTGTCTCGTTAAACTGAAAAATAATCAAGCTCTTTTATATCATAATATTTATGGAATAGCCCAATATTTGAAAGCTATCTTTTAAAAATAAAAATACACATTTACATTTCTTTTATATTTATGTAATAACATTTTGAACCTTAACATAAAGTTTAGCAAATATATATTGATTTAAAAAAACAAATTTACCTCTTGGCTAGTAATTTTGCTTAATGTTTCTTCTGTGGGTGTACCACAGAGTACTAACACTCGTGTTAGATGATCAATGTCTGTTTATGGTTAAGGTATGTTTGAAAAAGCAGTATTAATTAAAAAGTAGTTTTTATTAATGCTAAATACACAAAACCATTCCCACAACTGGTAAGTGATCGCGTCTAAAGCAAGCTGCATATTTGTTATAAAGCAGCGTGAATTAGAGCTTTAAATAAATATCAAATGTGAAAAAGATTTAACTCTAAACAGGATACTTTAATTAATATGCTTTATTTGCGTACATCAAATTGTACGTAAAATTAAAATCTCTTTCTGTCAAAACATACGTTATACAATTTGTCTTGAAATATATATTGCTTGAATTTTTTCTCAATGTACCACTTTTAGTTTTTAACACTATTGTTATCCATAAGTAGAATTTATCAAATTAGATTATTTGGTGCTAAAATCTTACATTAAATATTGCATTAATATGTCAAACCCAAGAATTTGCCAAGATGTAATATTCATTTTTATATATTCTACCATATTAACTAACGAAAAAAAAAGAAAAGACCAAGTACAGTTCACATTTCATGTAAAATGTCTAAAACGTGCATTTCATGCTACTATGATAAAGTAACTACAATAAAATAATTAAAACAACTTACCGACTCTGACGATATCTTTTTCATAAACTCGTCTCGTGGAGTACCCAAAATTTCCATAATTAAATTCAATTGGTGAATATCTGCTCTTGCTAAGGCTCCACTATATTTTTCTTCAAAGGCACTAAATATCCCCTTTGTTACAGATCTATTTTTTAAAAGTTACACTACGTTACACATTCTAAATCATTAATACTTTTACGTCTACAGTCAATTGTATCTTATTCATGCGGAATTTGCAGATAGCTTTTAGATCGATAGTGAAATATGTAAGCAGATGGCTGTCTAAAAGCATGTTAGCGGAATATATTGTATGTAATGTTAGATTTAAAAGTTTAACGCAACTATGGGATATCAGTTATGATAGACCCTTAGCAAAAAGCATGTTTATTAAAGGACATTGCAACTGGATGAAACAAACAGAAATATTTATCAAAACTAATCAATGAGCTTGTGTTAAGAACGTAAAATATATATTTATCGTGTGAGAAAAAAAATTAACGTGGAGAAATACTGGAGATTAAAGTAGCACGACAAAAACTCGTCAACAATGACAAAGGATACGATCTGTTCCAGGGAATAATGTTCTCCCAGTTAATAGTTCCGCCATGATGCACCCCACTGACCAAATATCAACTAAAATGTACAACAGTATTACAGCATTAGGTGATAAGATTCCTGTATCTCATAAAATAAGAAGCAGATAAGATATCTCTCGTTCCACTAATTATCTCTCTCCGCGTAATCGCTGACCTGTTTGATTGTAATGCATCCAATTAAGCATAATTTCGGGCGCCCTGTACCACCTGGTGGCAACGTAACCGGTCATCTCGTTCTCCGTCGGCCTGGCCAGGCCAAAGTCCAGTATCTTCAGCTCGCAATCCTCGTTAACCGCTATGTTGGACGGCTTTAAGTCCTGTCAATCAGGTCTGTGAGAAATCGCCTCGACACTTTTCACAATTTACGTAAACATACAGCGCACACTCTCGTACCCTGTGTATAATTCCCGCAGAATGGATGTACTTCAAACCACGGAGGATCTGATAGACGAGAAATTGCACATGGTCGTCGGAAAGCTTTTGCGTTCTGACAATGTTATTCAGGTCGGCGCCCATCAGATGTGTGACTAGGTATCTGCGTAAATAAAAGACGCGATTAATACGGTGGGAACCAAACGAGACTCAGGTGCTAAACGCGGTACCCACACTTGTTGAAAATCTTCCAAAGAGGAAGACGGATGAAATACGTCCAGCAGTCCTATTACCTGCAAGAGAACGTGTTTTTAAGATCGACCGCAGGTGCAAAGTGATTTGGTGCCTTTATTTACCCACATTTTCATGATTCATATGCTTTAACATACGCAGCTCCCTATACGTGCGCTTTGCGTGCACAGCTGACTGAAACGGCCTGGCTAGCTTCTTGATCGCCACCTTCTGTCCGGTGGTCGTATCCACCGCGGAACTGAAAGCATAAAATATATTTTCGTTTGCTGACAACACGATTCCAGTCGCACTTATCCTCGTTGGCACGATCTGAAGTACTACACTAGAATATGCGCTTGATTGCAAACTTTAATATCTCTGTGAATCGTCAACTATATCTTGCGTTAAGTTATGAGAGAAATAAATAGCTTGTGCAGCGAGAAATGTCACTGACACTTCATACAATTTAGTCTTTTCCTCTTTCTCCTTTCAAACTCATCAACACGCAGCCAATACATTTCGAATACAGCAAAAACAAACGTCGAGCCACGATCCGTGACACGAGATTTCGCGCTATTCGCGTCTCTCGATCGTATCGAGTTGACAAACGTCGTGCGTCGTTCCAAATTTATTCTATTTTCGTAAAAATACGGGACGCGTGCGCAAAACTCTCTCGGGGGAATTAACGCGAGCCCGGAACAAATGTATTCGGGCTCTTCTCCGCGAGGCGGAGAACAGTCGCCGCTCTAACGCCGAAAACGTAAATGTCAAGGTTGCGATCGGTTCACGGTCGCAGCAGCGTGGGACGTCGTTCTACTTGCTCCAGCAATTTCCCAGCCGGCTGTCACTCGGCGGCTCGTCCCCCGTGCGACGCGGAGACACGTTCCGGAGCAACATTTTTATGAACGGAATCGTGAAATTGATACCTGGAGCATTGAATGACGAAAAGTATAAAAGATCAAGTTATAAGACGTCCAACAAACCGCGCGTTGCGATGCAAGACGCCGGCGGATCTCTCGGCGAGATCGCTTTTTTGCGACTTGGTAGCCTCTTGGCAAAGTCCCTGCCGTGCGTACGTACACACATACGTCGCCAAGGTTCTCCGCCACGGCGGTGCGTACGCGAGTGCGGGCGTGTGTGTGTGCGTGCACGCGCTACGAAGCATCGCGCGGCGACCGTGCCAACGTCGTGACAGCTTCGTCGTCGGCTTACCAGACTTGGCCGTAGGCGCCCGAGCCCACGGGAGTGAGCAACTGGTACCGCTCCGGCACCTCCCATTCCGTCCTGTTGATCTCGATCTTGTGAAACTGCGGCATGCCTTGTCCGCGTAACGCTCGGCCCCGGCGGAGGATTACGGCGACGGCCGTGACACGCAACGTCCTTTCGCTCTCGCGAGTTCACCCGCGACTCCGAGCTCTATCGCGCGCGATACCACATCTCCAGGTCGACCGACAGCCGCTAACAGCCGCTACGCTAATTCATCGCGGTACGGACGGACGCTACAGACAGGCGCGGTGCCGAGCTACTCGCGATACACTCACGAGACACGAGAGGCTAACGTCAACGGGCGCGCATCCCGATACCCGATACTCTCCCGATCGATCCGGCTGTGCGACGTGCGATCGCGCGGTCTAGTGACGTTTCTCGATACTCGATATATTTATCGATTGTTCGATACACGTTGCACGTTCGAGTTATCGAGTAGGGGAAAAGCGTGATTTTTAAAAATGTCATGAGACAAATAAGCTATAAACTATTTCGAAGATAAAATCTTGAGTTTATATCCTGGAATCTTGAATGTGTTCTTCAACATCATTCTTTCGTTCGTCAACATCATTTTTTCGTTCATCAACATCTTTCTTTCGTTCTTCAACACCGCTTTCTCATTCTTCAACATTATTATTTCGTTCTTCAACATCATTCTTCCGCTTTTCTTTTCTTGTTCTTCAACATCTTTCTTGCGTTCTCCAACATCTTTTTTCAATCTTCAACATCACTTTCTTGTTCTCCAACATCATTCTTTCGTTCTTCTTGTTTTGTTCTTCAACATCTTTCTCGTCCTCCAACATCAAAATTCGATTCTTCAACACCAAAATTTGATTTTTCTACATCAAAATTTGATTCTTCAACATCAAAATCTGGTTCAACATCAAAATTGGATTCTTCAATATCAAAATTTGATTCTTCAACATTAAAATTTGATCCTGTAACACCACATTTTGATTCCTCAGCATTAAAATTTGATTCTTCAACATCAAAATATGATTCTTCAACATCATATTTTGATTCTTCAACGTCTTGTCTTATCTTCCCAGATAGCACAAAGATGAACATAAGTTCATAGAGAATTCATTTTAAAGAAAACTTACAGAATTAGAAAAATGAATATCTGAAGAATTCTTGAAGAATTAGTCTCAATCAGTTCGTCTTGAAGTATTCTTCTGAAGTTC